TCACAAGTTTTTGTTTTTTTATTGCATAATATATATTTTTTATTTTCACATAATAATCTTTATTTTATAAAAAATAAATTAATCTCACCTTTATCTTACTATCCGATTGTGGCCACTTACGATTCGTCGCTCTTATCCTCGTCTGAGACGAGAAAGAAATTACAATTGCTAATAATAGACGAGGGCACAATCGACAAATGTGGGTATGACAATAGTGGTCAATGAGGTGGAGTTGAAGGTCGAAGCTTAGGAATAATTTTATTTTATTTTAAATTAAAAAAAGGTACGATGAGAATAAACTGAAAGGAGGATTCTCTACGAAAAACCAAATAAATATTTAAGATTTTTTTTGAGACATTTGCCCAACATTTGCCCAAAAGTCATTGGTAAAGTCATTGGTCGAGATGTTACAGATGGATGGTTGGACACGTCAACGGAGTACATCACATTTAGTGCGCCACTTGCGTACGTTTTGTGGACGAAGAAAGATTTAATGTGGGTGAATTGTGTAATAATGGTGTTAAAACCCATCATGTGACGGCTTAGTCACGCAGGAAGAAGAAAACTTTATGATTACTCGACGTGAGTTGGTTTATATGGATTCGTTGATCAGAAACTTTTTATCACTGTTTAAGATGATCAAAACTCTAAACACTTATTTGACGCCCGAATCCCCCAAATAAAACAAAAGATATCAATGACTGGCTGAGAAAAAGTACGGTCAGCTTTCATAATGTTCGCTTTAGTCCTCCAGCTTTTGTGATGCCATCACCTTCGGAAACGACCAGTAGACTCGGAGTAAAGTCAGCTGCTTATAATTGTGCTTTAGGATCCACAAATTGGTCTTCTTGAAATATAAATGTTGGGGAAAGACCTTTCAACTTTAAAAAATAGTAAGATCAGAATGAATATATCAAAAAATCAGCACAAATTAAAGTGATTTAATGGAAGATCAAAATCTTTATCACAAATCACAAAATCCATGTCAACCCAAGAAAAATTAAGGGAAACCTTAGATACTGCTCGTCGATGTTAGATTTCCAAATACATCCCTACAGCATATACATCTTAATGAGTTTGATTACATGGCTTAAAAATACTTCTGGAGAAAGTATGCTACACGTATTCTATCTGTGGAGTACTTGGAGGTATAGGCCTTGATCGATGTGGAGAGTCATCATGGTTCTGTATTCAACATCCTTCTTCTCGTCACCAAGCTTGAACTTGAAGAAGCGTAGGAGCACCATTGCAAATATTTTCATCTGTCTATAGGCAAACTCTTTCCCCAAGCAAATTCTTGGACCAGCCTGCGATGAAACATAGCCATTTAGATTTGGAACAGCATGCATGCAAGCTTCGTTCTCGAGGAGGCCCACCCCTAATATCCTGATGTTTCCTCACCTGAAAGGCTGAGAACTTGTAGGGGCTCTCAGGCTGGAATACACCACCATCATCCAGCCACCTCTCCGGGCGAAATATCTCGGCATCCCTTCCCCACAGGTATTCCATTCTTCCCATCGCGTAGGGTTGGTAGAACACAATATCACCTTTTCTCACATTGTAGCCTCCAGGTAAAATGTCGTCAGCAAAGCACACCTTGTTTTCCTGCATTTCATACATATTTAGTGTGCTTCAACAGTCAACGTTCTCTATCATTTTGACTTACCAGGGGAACCGCAGGATATAGTCTTAGTGTCTCAGAGAGGGCGGCATGAAGATAGTGCATGTTGTTGAGTGACTCGTCATCTATGCTCTCCGCGAATGCATCAAAAGCTGCATCTTCACTGGCTTCGATCACTTCCTTGATTTCCTGATAGATCTTCTCTTGCACCGGTGGGTTCTTGCAGATCGAGTAGAAGAACCACGCGAGCGTGCCTGCCGTGCTGTCTTTTCCAGCAATCATGAAGTTAAGAATTATGTCCCTCAGATATTTTAAATCTATATTTTGTGGATCCTTTCTGCTCTCCTCCAAAAATCTTGACAATATATCATCTTTCCCTTCCTGTTATTATGACAAAAAGAGTGATTAATCATCTCTCAGATCATCCACAAAAGGAAGGGTGTACTTGAAGGATTCACTCACCGAATCACTTCCTTCGTTTGACATTTCTTCCACCCTGATGCGTATCAGTTTGTATATAAAATCGTCGACCAATTTGACTTTTGACTTGAGAGTCTTCTCACCGCCGATGTTGAGAAATCTCATGACCTTCCAAAAGGCGTTTACGTATCGCATCATGATGAACTCGTTCGAAACATCAAATGCCTTGGCAAATTCACTTCCGTGGTTATCAGAATCATCCAAGCAGTTCAACTCCAATCCGAATCCGATTTTGAATATGGAATCCATGGTGGATTTCATCAACAAGTCCTGTTGACGTTTGCAGATCACATGCACTTACGTTGACTTGTTGATTAACGGGAAAAGCATGCATGTGGATCCTCTGAGAACAAGAAGGGATCTGATACTTACTTGCATGTCAAACTTCTCATTGGAAGTGGCATAGGAAGAAAGGACGTGAGCAAGCTTGACTGCGTTACGCTTAAAAATAGCACCACTAAATTCTCGCAAGACTTTTGTAGAGAACCCAAAGCTCGCAAGTTTTCGTTGGTGGCGCCACTTGTCACCGTCTACTGCAAATATACCATCTCCGAACAATTCCTTCGTGTTTCCGTAGTTATACCATCCCTGAATCGAATTAGGTTAAACATAATTATTAATCTACCAAGCCTTATGCTGTCATTATCTTAATTAATAGAACCATTAAAAAACTAATAAAATATAATTTTATTAAATATAACTCCCACCTTGGCTTGCATCTTTTGGATTAATATAGACTAATCCAAAAGATGATGATATCTTTCACACTGTTACAGCAACGATCAGAATATCATCTTTCGGGTATATAACTCAATATCTTAAATCCTAAAAATATTAATTTGATCTAACAAACATAAAAAACTATTTTTCACTTCCTCCTATTCGATCTTCATATCATTGAATTTGATTATTTATGTTTTTCATGCATAGGATATCTTAGAAATATTAAAACTTATCAAGATGAGATTGTAAATAATAAAACAGTTGCCAATAGAGATATCCTAAAATTTATAATAAAAATCTCAATAAGAAATTAAATTTTTATTAATTATTGAACTAAAATGGAATGTAATTGCTTAAGTTTCCGATGAGAACTAGTCATTGAAGTCGGGAGATTACAATAATAATACCTTGCCGTAGTTATCAAAGTTGGTCTTGAGGATGTACTCGACGACGGCGGGATCGGTGGAGTAGATCTGGTGGCAGAGGGGAGAGAGCAACCTGAAGGTCTTGTGCTTGAGAGAAAGCTTCGTGTGGTAGTCATGAAGCCTTCGGAAATTGAGGAGTTGATGGAAGATGGTGCCGACCACCGGAGGGTATCTCTTCCGGTTGCTGTTGAGGGCTCTCCAGGTGCGGGTCGCCAGCAACACAAGGCCTACTACTGCAGCAGCGAGAGAGACGAAACTCGAGAAGAAATCCATGGGGGCTTCAGGTGAAGATGTATGTAGAGAATGGCACCCATAAATAAGGATTGAAGTCTCCTGTGCGGGACACGTGTCTGACGGACGGTCGCACACAACGAAGCAATAGGTGTACAAGAAAAAGGAGGATTCGTATGGCTTTTTTTCTGTTGCTTTAAAATCCCGCCACCGCACAGGCGTTTTCTTAAACCACTATATTGTTCTTTTGCTGTGAGTTTCTTGGAAGGGGAATCAGTCAACCAAGTCGAGATAATTTTGTCATTGCAAACTTCATGAGAAACAATGTGAGCTTCAATGTTTCAGCTAAAAATTCCGACGAACGAACCGATTTCCTCCATAAGAAGACAAACATAGAAACTGCTGTGTTGTCTTTTCGTTTACTGTATGCCCGTAGATATTCTGATGCTGTAGTGTTAGTCGGAGTGCTTACACGATCCTAAACCATGAGATTTGGATATTCGAATTAGGGAAGCATATAGAAGAGCCTCAACGAGCAGAATATTTATGGGCATACAGCAGTCCTTCCCTCGGCTTTACTTGGCGAAAGCTTGTTCCAGCAGCTGATGTTCCTGCCTTGAGCGTCCCTTCCGAGATTCCTTTCAAGATCCTCGTACCTGATGAGGAAACTGCAGAAAGAAGACAGAGGAAGTTCTACGTCACGCACAAATTGGTGCATCCATCGAGTAGGCTTAAAGAAACCTTGTCGCTGATGTTGGTTCCCCTGAAGCGAGCCACGGCGCGGTCGAACGGGTGGGAGGGGTGGATGCGGGGCTCGCAGGTCCTGTCCTCGTCGACGTACTCGGCGATGTCCATGGACTCGGAGATGGGCTTGCCCCGGTAGATGAGGCCTGTGATCTTATTCGCAGAAATTTTATTATAAAAATGATTTATTTTATTTATTGGAGTAATATATATTTATATAAATTTTAAAATAATATAATTAATTTTATTCATCGGAGTAATATGTTTAATCTTTAAATCATAGATTGATTGAGGATTATATTATATAAGGATGATATAATGTAAAGTTATCATTTCATATTTGTATTTGTCATTATCTTCTATCATGTTCTTGTAAGATTGAGCTCCCGTTAAGGATGATAATCTTAGACTGATGCAATTGAAATATCCTGCGAACGAGAGGCTTTGTGACGGAATCTACTAGTTGCTTAAAAGTATCAACGTAAGAAATACATAGTTGATGTTTGATAACTTGATTTTTGACAAAATAAAAATTGATAGCAATGCATTTCATGCGTGAATCGAATATCGAGTTAGCGCATAAGTAAATGGCACTGATATTATCATAATATATTATAGGAATAGATTTAGAGGTAATATCAAGTTCATGTAGCTGTGACTCAATTGAATTACGTATCGATGATGATGATGGCATGGTATTCAGGATCTTACAATTGTGTTTTATTTCTTGAAAATCTAATTGATCATATTTGCTC